GTTGACATTACCCTTGAGGTAAAGGTTGTGGGGCAAAACTATAAGCCCCTATCGTTCTCTGTGTCCGATTAAAACTCTGTAACCATAAGTATTGCGTGAGTGTTAGCAATTATGGAGGACTAAATGATAGTTGAGTATGTGGACTTGCTTTTTAGCTCTGACATAGACTCTTTTCGATGTTATGATAAATTGCAATTGCTTCAATGACTGAGATTATAGTTTGTCGGAGCCCAATAAGGTTTATGATTTATACTTTTGCATTGTGAATAGATCATCACTTGAACATAAGTAATCATATGACAGAATCTATATATGTTGCTGTTATGAGAATAATCATGATGCCTTCATATCCGTATTTTATTTTTTATCGACGCCTCTACCTCTAAACATGAGGACATATTTATTGTTATCGGCTTTTCGCTTGAGGACAAGCGAGGTCTAAACTTGGGGGAGTTGATACGTCAATTTTGCATCATGCTTTTATATCGATATTTATTGCATTATGGACTGTTATTTCACTTTATGTCACAATACTTATGGCTATTCTCTCTTATTTTACAAGGTTTACATAAGGAGGGAGAATGCCGGCAGCTAGAATTCTGGGCTGGAAAAGGAGCAAATATTAGATACCTATTCTGCGCAACTCCAAAAGTCCTGAAACTCCACGGAACATCTTAGAATAAATAAAGAAAAATCCTCGCCAAAGATGAAGGCCAGGGGGCCCACACCCTGCTCACGAGGGTGCCCCCCCTAGGGCGCGCCCCCTACCTCGTGGGCCCCCTGGTGGCTCTCCGACGTCCATCTTCTCCTATATGAAGTCTTTCGATGAGAAAAAAATCAGAAGGAACCTTTCGGGACGAGACTCCGCCGCCACGAGGCGGAACCAATCTAGAGCTCTGGCAGAGCTGTTCTGCCGGGGATACTTTCCTCCGGGGGGGAAATCATCACCATCGTCATCACCAACGCTCCTCTCATCGGGAGAGGGCAATCTCCATCAACATCTTCACCAGCACCATCTCATCTCCAAACCCTAGTTCATCTCTTGTATCCAATTCTTGTCTCAAAGTCCGAGATTGGTGCTAGTAGGTTGCTAGTAGTGTTGATTACTCCTTGTAGTTGATGCTAGTTGGTTCATTTGGTGGAAGATCATATGTTCAGATCCTATATGCATATTATTACCCCTCTGATTATAAACATGAATATGCTTTGTGAGTAATTTCGTTTGTTCCTGAGGACAAGGGAGAAGTCTTGCTATTAGAAGTCATGTGAATTTGGTATTCGTTTGATATTTTGATAAGATGTATGTTGTCTAGCCTCTAGTGGTGTTATGTGAACGTCGACTACATAACACTTCACCATTATTTGGGCCTAGAGGAAGGCATTGGAAAGTAATAAGTAGATGATGGGTTGCTAGAGTGACAGAAGCTTAAACCCTAGTTTACGCGTTGCTTCGTAAGGGGCTGATTTGGATCCATATGTTTCATGCTATGGTTAGGTTTACCTTAATACTTCTGTCATAGTTGCGGATGCTTGCAATAGAGGTTAATTATAAGTGGGATGCTTGTTCAAGTAAGAACAGCACCCAAGCACCGGTCCACCCACATATCAAATTATCAAAGTATCGAACGCGAATCATATGAGCGTGATGAAAACTAACTTCACGATATTCCCATGTGTCCTCGGGAGCGTTTTTTCCTATTATAAGAGTTTGTTCCGGCTTGTCCTTTGCTACAAAAAGGATTGGGCCATTTTGATGCACTTTATTTACTTTTGTTACTTGTTGCTCGTTACAATTTATCCTATCACAAAACTATTTGTTAGCACTTATTTCAGTACTTGCAGAGAATAACTTACTGAAAACCGCTTATCATTTCCTTCTATTCCTCGTTGGGTTCAACACTCTTACTTATCGAAAGGACTACGATAGATCCCCTATACTTGTGGGTCATCAATGCGCCGCTTACCTGCTCGTCGGTGCCGATGTGCGTCGGCGGAAAAGATTGAAAGGAGGGAGAATGGTGGCGGGAGTTGGGACGGTGAGGGAGGGGGCTAAATAGGGGCGGACTCGACGGGAGGTGAGTCGAAATCCTCCCGCTGATTTTTCGGCGAAGCGGGCGAGCTCGCGTCATCTCCCTAGTCGCACGAGGAGAGAAGCGTGTCGCCCTCCCCTGCGTCGCTCGAGCCAGGCTCACGAGCTACTGCTGATTCGGACGTTTTCCCTGTGTTTGGCCTAAAGGTGCTTTAATGTTCGTGTAATGCGGACCGCACAATAAACGCAGGCAATCAAACGGGTCACTTTCTTCCTGCGCGGGTAAGGCTGAACCTTATGCAGGCAACCAAACATGCCACCCGTAACTTTGGGCATGGCGGTACACAGCTCTCGTGCAACGAAAAAATGGGTGGGACTGCAGCTAGTAGAACATTCCTGCTTGCGAGCCAAGCCCGGGTGGGGACGGAGACGGTGGGAGCGACATCGCGGTAGAAAAAGGGAGCGTTTCATGCGCGATACTCCATTTTTAGCAACGTTACAGAGCCGACCAGTCAGAACACACGCTGTAAAGTCGGCCCGTATTGGGCACTGCTCACTGCTGTTGCCGGGGCCCCACCAGTCATCCGCGGACGCAGCTTGCAGGCGCGCGTGACGATATTGTATCCGCGCAGCCAACCCACTTGCTGGATTGGAAAAAAGCAGAGTGGGCCGACGTCGTCGCCCTCCGCAGGTCAAGCTCAGCAGCTGCAGCTCCGCCTCCAAACCGAAGCCGCCGCCGGCAGCGGAGGAGGAGGAGGAGGAGGAGGGAGATGGCGTCGGGCCTGGTGACGGAGGACGTGACGGTGGGGCGGCTGGTCCGGATCCGGCGCACGGTGATGCACATGCTGCGCGACCGGGGCTACCTGGTGGTGGAGCACGAGCTGTCCATGACCCGCCGCGACTTCCAGCGCAAGTACGGCGAGTCCTTCCACCGCGAGGACATGCTCATCAACAAGTGCAAGAAGAACGACCCCAACGACCAGGTCTGCTCGGCTCAGCTCAATCTCCCCTGCTTTTGCTTTCCTCTAAAGTAGCTAGGTTGTCGTCCACGGATCCAGCTCTCTGTTTCTCCTTTTCGCCGATGGTCATCCGCGATCCGTCTCTCGGTCGACAACTTCGTTAGATTTGAAGCCCTAGCTCCATCGTCTTGCTCTTGCTCGATCTGTTCTGTTGGATCGACCGGTGTTTGTTTTGCCATCGAGTGGTCGATGCAAGCTTAGTTCGTGGTGCTCATGGCGTCGGCTCCTTAGCTTGGGGGACACTCTGCTCCGCTGTGCACGTGGCGCCAGGCGAGTTGCTCTGTGCGACTGCGCTGCTTGCCGTCTGCTACTGCCTGACCAGCCTCTACAATTCTACAGACATACGACTACGTACTGTTGGAAGAATTTAGCCGACCAAGTAGCTCGACCATGCTGCCTGACGATGAATGATGGCTGCCAGGAACCTCATTTTCGTTCAGAGCAACTCAATGCTGCATTCTGTGCCAAATTCAGCTATTATGTTGGTGAAGTTCTGCCTTGAAATGGCAGTCTCCTAACACTTATTACTTGTTTCTCTCTTTCGAATCAGATATACGTGTTCTTCCCTAACGACGAGAAGGTGGGGATGAAGCACATCAAGAAGTATGTTGAAATGATGAACGCCGAGAAAGTCTCCAGGGCTATATTGGTTGTGCAACAGAACCTCACCCCATTTGCAAAATCGTTTCTCCAAGAACTGGAGCCAAAGATCCACTTGGAGGTTTTCCAGGTTGGTTATGCACTCTGATTCAACCGACACATTTCTGTGATCTGTTATGTTACTCTGGCTTTCTCATAACTGAAGCAACGAACCACAGGATGCCGAAATGCTTATAAATATCAAGGAACATGTTCTTGTTCCGGAGCATCAAGTGCTTGCTAATGAGGAAAAGAAGACGTTATTGGCGCGGTACACTTTAAAGGAAACTCAGGTATTACTAAATCTTGATTAGCACTTGAAAGTTGCACTAATTTTGGGCATCAATAGAGCCAGCCAACCTTGTATCTAGTTCCCTGATATAGCAATAAGGCCAACATTAGAGGAACATGTTTCCACAATTTGCTCTAAGAAAATCGATGTTGTTTGTCTATGGGAGATGTATTACAATAGCTACTGAATCTTGCTTGTTTGCCAACACAACCATGCTTCTATCACTTGTTGTTGCATGACACCCTCTCCATTTTTCAGTACTTCGCTACAAATATGCACCCGCTCACAGGCATGTAACCATTTCTCTTCTGAATGCAATGAACAAAACAGCTACCAAGAATACAAATTACGGATCCCATTGCGAGGTACTACGGCCTCAAACGAGGGCAAGTTGTGAAGATCATCAGGCCCAGCGAGACAGCCGGCAGATACGTCACATATCGCTATGTTGTATGACAGTACACGAACTGAAGGAACCAAGAACATGGTGATTTTTGCAGTTACACACAGGACACACATACCCATTCGCTTGCTTGGAGAAAACTGGTATTGCTTTAAGCAGCCATTCTTAAGGATCGCATGCCTGTTACGTAAAAGGACTCTTAATAAGTTGAGTGTATGGAGCATAAGCAAAATCCTCATGTTGTACCATTGTTTCAAGAACTTTATAGAACATACAGAACAGAAACTAGTGTGCTGAGAGCAATGAAAGGCTCTGCAGTTCTGGCTGCTACATCGTTTGAACGAACCATTCTTGAAACTCCATGATTCTGGTCCTGACGTTGTGTGAGTGTGTGTGTGTGTGTGGTGGTGGTATGCGTGATGAACTTCTTCTTTACAATACATGGTGGATCCTGGAGTGGCATTGTAAGCATTTACACAAGGTAATGGGAAAATTTCTCTGTTTAGTATTACCTCCGTTTGGAATTAACTCTCGAGGCTCATTCCATCGACAGTTAATTCCGAATGGAGGGAGTAGGATGCACTGTAGCAACTAGCAGCATACCACAGTTTAGACTGAAATGCTACTGCAAGTGCTACCGATCGATGGTTGTTCTAGGGTTTACTCTTTTTATGAAAGAAAGGGTAGTGCTGGATATCTTGCCGGCACTGTTTGTTTCCGGAACGCTACGCTGATCACTAGCTTCCATCTTTGTGTAGGCATGGATAGGCATAGCAGCGGAGATGCGGAGTTATGACAGGAATTGCAAAGCTAACCTAACATGATCGGCCGGACTGTACTATGGAGCTGTCCGGCCCCATCTACAGTTCGTCGGAGCTGGACAAACAAGTGAATGCAAACAGCGACCACACGTACGCTCGCACTGGGACCAGGTCATCGCTGCGTTTTTATGCACCCCTCTTCTTGCTGTTATTATTTGCCCTTAAGCCCACGGATTAAGCTAACAGCATGGCCTGTACTACGAATCTTTAATTGTGACGCGACGCTGTACCAGGTCATAGTAGCAGTAGGCGTCATCGATCGGCCGCCAAGCCCACCAACGAAAATGAACAAAAAGGGAGAAGACAATATGCTGTTGTGTTGTTCGGTGGTGATGTGGACTGAGGGATGGGCGGAGACGTAGAGAAGTGGTTCTGACTAAAATAATTTGGCGAAAGCCCAATTGAAATGGTAGAGAAAGGTGTTGTTTGTTGACAAAGATAAAAACAATGTCCTTTGGCACGCTTGTTTGTAGGGAATGGTCCATGTAGCTTTTATTCTTTTTTCGCCGACTAGTGCTTTTAATATGTTTTCGGGGTGGATGGGAAATTGACTCAAATCCGCGTGCCAATCTTCTGTTGGACAATTTGGAACTACCAGAATGATATTTGATGTTGGAGTTTCCAATGTTTTGCAAGTTATCCACATGGTTACTTACTAGATCACCACGTGATTTTTCCCTTGGTGTGCTGAAGTTCAAAACTTTTGGGCCCTGAGGGCAACCACTTGAAAACGGTCATGCGGGTTTTGTTCAACCGGCTTGTGGTGATGGTTTATCAGTAGGAGGGTGATGCATAAGTGCCTCCATGTAATCTCTATTTGCAAATGCTATATCCTCGTGTATTTTGCCCCCGGCGGAATTGGTAGGTTGAGACAAAAACCAAATAAATTAATATGATTGGTTTATTTTGAAATTGTAGAGCGGTGGGGAAGAAAGGTATTGCATCCTGTTTGTCAGATATTTTCCATAACCATGATTTAGACTTTGTGGGGATCCAGAAAACCATGAAGAGGAAATATTCTCATGCTTTCTTCAGGAAGTTGGATCATGGGAATCTTCTTCAATTGGATTGGATTCCTTCTGCGGGCAAATGTAGGGGTATTTTATGTGGCACTAGATTTTTCTACTTTGGAGATTATTTCTGTTGGGTATGACAAAAGTTTTATTCAGGTCAATGTGTTGCATAAGTTGTTAGATTGCAATCTATCCCTTGTGGTTGTGTATGGCCCAGCTCATGAGGAGCCGAAGATGGATTTTTCTTACTGAATTAGCTTCCGTCTGTAGTAAGGTCAATTGTCATTATGTTGTTGGGGGAGATTTTAACATTTTGATAACTTATGATGAGAAGAATAAACATACTAGCATGTCCCATGCTTCTTATATGTTTAATTCTATTGTTCATTCTTATAATTTGATAGAAATTTATATGGTTGGAGGTATGTGCATATGGTCCAATAAACAACAACACCTTACTTTGGAAAAGCTTGATAGAATTCTTATGTCCCTTTCATGGGAGGATCTTTTTCCTTTGGTCAGTGTGGTTAAGCTGGTTAAGGAGTTATCTGGTCATAATCCTTGGGCGTTGAAATGTGGTGTGGTGCAACCTAAGGATAAAAGACCTAGAGGCTTTATGTTTGATGTGGCTTGATTGAAGCATGATGATTTTCTTCCTCTAGTAAAAGACATTTGGTGTAAGCATGTATCTAGTGCCCGATTGAAAATGGTAGAGAAAGGTGTTGGTTGTCAACAAAAATACAAACAATGTCCTTCTGAATGCTTGTTGTAGAGAATGGTCCATTTAGCTATTCTACATTGAACGGAGTACCAACGTTGTTTAAGGCGGTGTGTATGCGGTTGGAGCTGGTGGCCATGGAGATTTTTACCCAACATGGGAGGCAGCATAACCTCTGGATCGGTCCACCGCCTCCTTCGACATAGGCATAGTGTCGGTCCTATATGACTTTACTGCTGTCGGTATGTCGTTTTCTATTTTTCTTTGGTCAGACTGTTAGCCTTTGGTTGTGCGCATCTTAGTTGTGCAGAGGCTGATGTTGCTCATCATGTTTTGTATCCGCTTGATGCTATATTTCGAGTTAATAAAAGCGCCCTTTATCCGGAAAAAAAGCTTTTTAAACTTTCCACGTCGACTAGTACTTTTAGTATGTTTGGGGCGAATGGGAAACTCAATACTCAAATCCACGTGTCAATCTTTCATTGGACAATCTGGAACTACGAGAATGATATTTGATGTTAGAGTGTAATGTTTTGCATGTTATCCACATGGTTACTCACTGGATCACCTTACCTTGGTGTGTTGAAGTTCAGACCTTTTGGATGCAACCACTTGGAAATGGCTGTACGGGTTTTGTTCAGCCGGTTTGGGGTGACGGTTTATCGGTAGGAGAGTGATGCATAAGTGCTTCTATGTAATCTCTATTTGCAAATGCTATATCCTTTTATATTCTTTGTTTTTTTTATAAATGGCTATTAATATCAAGTTAATATTAATACCCGGTCAATACAACAATCCAATGTAAAAAAGTATACAATCAAATCAGTAGCACACGAAAACAACCATCAACATCCATCACCAACAATGGCGGTATCCATACTATAAGAAAGGTTCTCCAGCGAAGACGAAGACGTCTCCAGTAAAGGAAGGACGTGCTAGTGATGCCTATCCTCGGATCCATCCACATAAGCTAGATTATGGATTTCACCATAAAAGTGAAATTACGAGCAATCTCCAAACATTGCCCTCAAACAAGGCAAATTTTAACATGCTCCCTCTTACCCCCTCATTTTTCATGTGAGGTAATAATCGTAAGAGCTAATCTACCACTAATTAATGAGATCAACGGCTCAGATCTATTATATACTCTTACCTCTCATGTGAAAAGAGGGGTTAAGAGGACTCGACAAGGAGAATGATGTAGAAACAGTACTATTATGAGGTACGACCGCTGAACCTATGGCCTAGAGTTTTCCTCCAGAGCTTTAGACCTTAGGGCATCTCTAAGGCGGACCCATAAACCTCATGTAACCGTTTGGGCCGCGGTGTCCGGACTACGGAAGCCATCCAATGCCGATCTGTATCGGTCCGCGGGCGGTCCGAATGCGATTTCTCCCGCAAACCGGAGACCAATGTGGGGGAGGTTTGCGGGAGTCCAGGCCGATCCCAAGCCTTCTTCTAACCGCCCTGGCCCACCAAAAACTCGGCACCCGCCCCTCCCGCGCTTTCCTTCTGATGCACACACCATTTACCGCGCCGCATTCATGCCGGCCCAGAGCACGCGGAGGCCAGCATTGATGTCATGACGTGATCAGATGGAGGGAGGGAGGGCTGCTTCAATGCGGACGCGGGTTCCCAAGGAACCAACTCCGGCCACTGCATCGCATTGAAGCTGCTGACCGGCCCTTCGCTTGGGCCTGGCCGTGGCTATTTAACCCATGAGCCGAAGTTGCACAGAGATGCACCACTCCCCTCCCCGAGCACCGGCCCCTTCCCTCCCCCATCTTCGTGTCCGAGCCCTTACCTCCCCCTCTTTTACCCAAGCTCTGATGATGCCGAAGTCATGGTGCTCCGCGCTGGTAGGCAGAAGCTCATCGTCCGGCGGTTCTTGGTGCCACCGCAGACGCTCTCTGGGCCCATCAGCGTCCACGGTGGTCAGCTCCGTGACATGGGGCCGTCGCCGCCATCGCCGGTGCACATGAAGGAGTCGGGCTTCCCGCCGGTCCACCGCGTCAAGATCGAGCCGGCATCCACACTCCTATCGGTGAAGGAGCTGTCCTCGCCCCGGCACAACTGTGTCGTCCAGATCGGACGCCGCGTGAAGGAAGAGTCGGCCTCGCCCCCGCACCACCACGGCGTTCGAGGAGCCCGCGTCCCCCCACGCAGCCGGTACGGCCGCATCAACGCGCCGTTGTCGTCGTCGCGTCGCCACCTCCTCGCCGTCGAGGAGGAGCTGTCGCCCACGATCAAGAAGGCGCGGGGCCGCCTCCTCCACTACTTCGGCGATCCCTCGGGCTCGAGGGCCGTTGTATCTGAGGCGAAGCACGCGGCTCGGCGATAGGAGCGGTACGACCGGCGCAATGCCAGTCGCCGCTCCACGTTCACCAAGAGTAACGTAGCGTCTGATTGGGTCCACAACGACCCAGACTTTGCCGACGCATGGGCGCTCGACCCCTCCGTGATCCCTGCGGAGACGGCCGCCAGGCTTCGCCGCCGCCTTG